AAGTATGAGGCGTACCTTCATGTCGTTCCTTCAAATAATTCATCAATTCTCGCACAATTACTTTATCACGAGCAATTGTTCGAATAAAAAGGAAGAGGAGACGTATTTATATCGATTTTTACTTTTGTTTGTTTTCACATTCTTTCATTTCTTTTCTTTTTCTTTCTTTTCTTCCGATTCACGAAAATCTCTAGCAACGATCACCGTATATTCCGATCGACGAAATAACGATTACTACGAAGAAAAATCAGATTTTACATTAGTATTTACATAAATCGCGTAATAGTGCGCGATATTCGTAATATGGTTCCAATTTACAGAGAGAAAGAGAGAAATGTGATACGAAAATGATATCCTCTAAGACGATGGAACAGATTTTGGAGACGCGAGAGACATTAAAAATTCTTTTAATGCCGTGATTTAAGAATAAAACGCTTATCGATATAATAACACATAGATAAACAACACCGTAAATAAAGAATTGGACGAGAAATCTCGTTACCGTTAGTCACGGTAAACTATTTCACGGAAAATGGTGTTACCATTAATTATTCTCCATAATTATCCATCACATCAACATTAGAACCTTAACAAATTTGACTTCTTTGTCCTTTACAAGATCGCAATAATTTTTATATAAAGTTTTACATTATCCGAAAGATTCGTGTTCGTTCATTATGATCAGAATTGTCCTCGGATTAATAAACGCAATTGTCGAAAAGGACACAGAAAGGCCACCACAATCATAAATCATCGCCGTCGCGACATCTATCTCCGATCAGACAGATCATACGGTAATTTTATTTCGGCATGAAGAACTGCTGATGCGAATGTGAATTCGGTGGCGGATGTAAATTAGGATGTGGTGGACCACTACCCCTTGTTCCTGTAGCGTAAAGCTGTTGTTGGAAGTTATGGAATTGTTGAGCATAATTCGGATCCGACATACTAGGTCCACTACCTACGAAGGGACTGTTCTTGAAATTACTAGTAGCACCACCCATACTCGGAGGTAATGGCTGAGTCGCATCCGGGGGAGGTCCTAATCCCATTGGACTGCCTTTGCTGCCAGATACGTACATGCCAGGATTCGGTTGATTGGGAACTTGCGATACCATGTCAGGTGGGAAGACTTTGTCTGGATCCATCGAACCGCCTGGAAAGACACCGCCACCAACCATGTGTTGCATTCGCATTAAATTGGGCTGAGGTCTCATATTGCTAACAGGTCTCATCGAAGGATGTACACCAACTGATGTATTCATCGATTGTCCATCCATCCTTGGAGAGCCACCCATGCCAGGAAGTCCACCACTCATGGTTGATGGCATGCCGCTATGCGGGCCCATACTATTCGGTACACAACCGTTCGGGAAGTACTGAAGATTTACAGACGGTGTTCCCATCTTTGATTCTAAATTAGACAAAGGATTTGTGAATCGTTGAAGGAAGTCCAAACTCGGTGGCCCTCTAGGCGTATGACCAACATTGGGCCTTGCTGGTAGATATTGTATCGTGTTTGGAGCACTAGGTTTTACTTGAACGTTCGCTCCGTTATAAGGGCTCGGCCCAGTCACGTGACCTGTCATTAATCTCGGCGGTGGTGCGTGAGGATCACCACCGGGATAAGTGCCCGCCGCATTGCCCGAATGACTACTCATCATACCGTGACCCATGATGGAAGGATGGCCCATTTTACTAGGTACACCGGGACTTCCCGTGTGTGAAGTTGTCGGGCTATAGCTGGTTGGTGGTCCTGCCAACCCCATGCACATTCCTCCTACCTCGCCTGGTTCACTAGTTGGACCACCCATATGACAACTTCCGTTCATCTCACCGCCCATTTGCATCATGTGCATGCTGTGCGGATTCCCAAATTGCATCATCCCGGTGTTCCCAGAATGAATAGGTCCTTCGTTACCTAATGAATTGCTAGCTGCCGTATTAGTAAGTTGCTGGCTCATCTGGGCCAAGGAAGTTATAGGATCGAAGTGATTTGTACTCATTGCGGTTAAACTGCCGAGTCGCCCTCCGATATTGTTGGGATTAAGAGGCACATTGTCTGAAGGTTGACTCACATTTATAGACGGTCTTCCGCAAGGGAAGGAGGCGCTTGGACCTCCCAGAGGAGGTACCACTGTTGCATTTCCCGAATTATTTGGATTTGCAACTGTAGACTGTTGTTGTTGTTGAGGGGGCTGTTGCGGTTGTTGTTGAGGTTGTTGCTGTGATTGTTGTTGTTGTTGCTGCTGTTGGGGTTGAGTTTGTTGTTGTTGAGTATCTTTTGTTAATGGTGGAGATGTGTCGGGTTTCGTAGTAGGTGATGCTGGTACTGTTCTTGGGGGACCCATACTATCCGGTATATTCGTATTGTGCGGTGCTGGACTACTCTGTGCACTCGCACTAGACTTGTTTCCGGATTTTCCAGGATCAACAGGAGTATGTGGAGCACCATTGCCTGGCGTGTGTGGAGTATGAGGAGTATGTGGACTATGCAAAGAGCCTGTAAAGCCGCGATTCATGCTATCCATCTGAACAGGACTTGTACCCTCGGATCTAGCAGGAAACTGATTGCTGTTGTCCAAAGTCCCTGGCAAAATTCTGTTTGGCATTTCTGTATTGCTGGCTGTATTCCTGGAGACATAAATTATATAAAATTATCAATCCACGTTCAGAATCATTTTGTTAAAGGTATACTTACGTGGATAAATTGCCATCCTTCAGACTTGTATTTGGTTGTTTCTGTATAGTCAATTCCTGTCCTTCAAAGGTGTTAAGATATTGAATCTGTTGAGGACTCGGCACCGGCATCAGATTCGCTTCCTTAACACCCGTTGCGTTCACTGCTCCAGTATGTTGCTGCTTTTGCTGGGCTAAGGATTGCAGCGTGCGGCAAAACATACCATCCACTATGTTGTAACATATAACACGATCAATTCACCGCGTAACGTTTTCAAGTACTGAACTTTTAAAATATTTTACGTAATAATTATAATGACCGTTGTTACTTAGTTGTTGCATTAAGATCCTTCGAATGCGACTCAATGTCAAATATCAATATTTTAAGAGGTAATATGATTGATTAAAACAATAAAATAATTACTTTATTACTTGGCCTTACCATTTGGAGGCTGGCTGGTGGGAAAATCTAAAGCTGAATCTTTTTGAGCAGTCGTTCCACTAGGACTAAGCGTCGAGATGTGTGAATGGGAAACAGGCGTTCCCGGGTTACTATGATTAAGTCTCGTTGTTGATACGGCTGTTGCATTTCCAACTGTCGGATTCGGAGAGTCTTGACTCGTTGGACTTTGTCCTGGTAAATGGCTAGTTCTCTGATTACTGAGTTGAAATTGTCTATTGCAGTCTGCAGGTGAATTTAGAGCTGAACTTGCGCGAGGTGATGGTAAAGATAAATTACTGGTTGGATTGTTAGGTGAAGAAGGATTTGGGCTTTGTATCGCGATTGGCACACTCGCAGATCGTGTTGTTTGATGATATGGCGGTGGTGGTCCTTGACTACGAGGAACCCCTACCATATTAGCACCTCGCAATGGAACTCCAGGACTTCCAACACTGGCCTACAATATAAATAAACATCATATCAAAATATTTTGCTGATTATTAATTATTTCCCAAGCATAATTTTTAACTTTTTACCTTATAGTATTATTTTACCTTATTTTTCCCATCAAGAAATTGATGTTGCAATTTATGCCAATCCATAGTTGGAGGACACTGAGTTGGAACAACTGAAGGAACGTTCGTTGGAGGACACGTTGATACCGCGGTTCCTTGTGTTGTGTCTAGCGTATTAGCGGTTTCTTCCTTGTGCTCAGGAAATAACATCATTTGCATTTTCCTAATAGTTGCTAACTGAACTTCTCGATGTTGCCTCTGTTGCGGCGTTAAATTTTCGTCCGGAACTTTGACACCTTGCAGTGATGGCTGTAAACTGCCTGGACCTGGACTGGTAGTACCTCCTAATAAATTGGGACTATGGCCCATTGTAGTACTATTAGGAGGTTGTGGATTTGCTGTAATAAAAGGTATGCTTCTAATGGTATAAAGTGTACACAAAAGGAAACTTGTAAAAAAAAAGAAGATTGGAGATATTTTCAACTACTCAGTACAAAGCACAAATATAACTACATATTACCTGAGTTACCAGGTGAATTTGGTACAAGGCAAGGCACATCTATATTTGCATCATCCAATGATGGTTCAGAATTACCAAGAGCATTACCACCATTTAAGTTCCTCAGATTAGGTTGTTCATTCCAGAATGGAGGAGCATTAGGATCAAGAGCCGGTAGATCTGGAGGTTGTTCATTTTGAAAAGTATTGTTTGTACCTCCTTGGTGACCTTTCTGTTTCATCATTGCAAGATTATTTAACCATTGCGCAGGATTTTGTCGGAATTGGTTTATTTTATTTGGATGTTTCTAAAGCAATAAATACCATGTTAGCAAATATAAAAATAATGTAAATTTTGCCTCACAAAATTTTACTACATACCTCTAAATATTTTTTAGTGCCCGGCTGTGCACAATGATAAGCAATGATCGATGGATATTGCCCTTGTAACACTGCATCTGCACCTTTATTTGCTAATGTTGTAGAAAATACAAAAATTTGACTTTGCTGTTGCATATATTGAGCTTCACCACTTCCTGTACTAGTTCCCATCTGTTTTCCAAGAACATTACTAACTAGTGGTTGAATACCATCTGCAGTAATAACATTACCACTACAATCTAAAACAAGATGAATAAAACAGATAAAATAATCATATGCAAAGGACATATCAAACATCAAGAATATAAACAATTAACAAGAGCACAAGAACTGAATTTAGTCCTACCAGGTATATCATCTGTGGGATTGTTATGATCACCTTCTTGTTTCACTGAGTTTAAAATTGGTTGATTTGCACTATTATTTTGGTTCTCTCCTGACAGGGTACCTTCTCCGTTGGAAGGATCCAAACAAGGATCCCTGGAGCACTCCGTAGTGTCTTCTCCTGTTGTATCATCATTATTACCTCCGGTACCCTCCTCTTTGATCTTAACTGGATCCGTATCAGGCTCCTCTTTGACAACAGTGCTCGGTACACAACTTGGTTCAGTGGGCTTCTTTTCTGTTTTCATGTTTGAAACTATACTGGATGAATTATCCTGTCAGACCTTGGTCAGGTGAGTAAAGAACAAACACATGGCCACTATCGTCCGCAATGTGCGGCGTAACAACGCATTCGAACCAGTGGTAGAGGTTAACAACGAAAATATCGTTGACCGGTATCCGTGCCGAACGTGTCCTTAAAAAACGGTATGCAACAGCACTCTCGAGGAAGGCATGTCTCTCCGCATCTCTATTAAATTTCCCGATAATAATACTTCTGGTGATCGTCGATTCAGCTTGTTTTCAGTCATTTAAATTGGCTAACCGCGGAATCGGATTCCTACGCATGGAGGAATCACGGTTGTCAGCGGGCGACTGATACAGGAATACGAAAGTAAGACCAATACCACGGAGGTATCGGGACGAAGAAAATATCCTAAATGTCAGCCTCGTATCCGCGGCGAGTGCATAGCGTACCTCCGGCTTTAATGTCGTACGTAACACCACGTTGTAACCGCGTAAGACGTATCCAAAACATAGAATGGGGGCCAATGCACGCTGCACTCAAATTTCCTTGCCATTCACGAGCATTGTTCTCCAACTTTATTTGTCACTTCATGGTCGCTTTGATTATTTATTTCTTTTACGCACGGCTGCCAACTGCCCATCGAAAGTTAGACATCGTTTTAACGCGCTTCGAGAAGGAAGCGTTCATACCTTTTCCCCGATAAATAGAAAAAGATGGAAAGAGTCTACCACCAGGCGTACTTGACTCGTTCCTTACACTTGATCGCCTGCAGGGTTACTATTTTGGTCTTTCTTTCCTTGTATTTTTCACCATTATTTCGTAGCTTTTAAACGTAAGTATTCATACCGAAATACGCATACCTCTCTTTATTCATTTGGTTAAGCGGACCTTTTATTCACGGCGATATCTCCCTAGACAGAGGCTGCATTTATTTAACGCAGAATCAAAACTCTGTAAAATTAAATTTGGAATACGAGAGACCAGGGACGAATCGAGTGATATCGGTGCCTACGTTCTTTAACTTCAGTTACTTTTTTACTTTATGTACATATAATGTACAGTTCCCATATATGGATATACTTTCCAGGCGGTATTTTTAAAATGTAAAATACGCTGAAAAAATATTACAAATTCGATTAAAACGATAATGCATGTTCGTGCTTTTTTTTTAATGAACATTTAAGTTAAATACAAAGTGTGAATACTTCGGAAGTGTTGCTTGAAAGAAAATTAAATATTCTTTTCTGAATATGCGATCCATTAAACAGGAATGAAAGACAAGTGCTTTCTCTATAATTCAAATGTGTGATATTTCATATTATTTAAGGATTAAGTACATTATGTACCTACATCGCAATCAATATTTCTAATATTGATTGATTATTCTTCTTTGTATGAACTTTTTACGGATAATAGAGTAAATTTAGTTTTGATCATTGTATATCAAAAAGTTGAAGCAATTGAGCGTAATAATAGAATAATCGGTAAAATAAATATAACCTAATAGTTTTTCTTTTTGAATCGTTTTATTTATACTCCAACTAATTATGGCTTAAATATTGTATTACATGGATAAAAAAAATTGTTCTAAAATATAAAAAAACTTATTATTTTCATTCAATACTGAAATATATTTTATATATTTATTATTTTTCATACTTTACAGATTAAAATAAATCAAATAAAGATGTCACAATTAGACCTAGATCCTCAATTTACACAAGGTTTACATCTTCTACATTCCACTAATAAAGATTCTGCAGAACAGCTGCGAGCACTCCTAGATGAAGCAATTAAACAAAAATATGGGCCATCAAAGATGTTATCAAATGTATTACACAAAAAGGTAATTAAATGACAATTAATTTGAGAACATCATATTGAGGGTTATCAAGAATAGAATAATTCAACTAAAAGTGGTTTATATTAATTAAGCTATTATACTTACAGAGTTAGTTCTGATATCAGGGCACTCATGAAGCATAGGAGATTTCATTCACGTAAAAAGATATCTAGTATTTGATCCCTCTGATCTATCATTGTCATTTATTTTTTGGACTTCTATCTCTTGAATTTTCTGTTTTTAGTATATGATGGAGGAACCTGTACTAAGTGACCATAGTAGCAGCAGTAGTAGTAAAAAAAGCAAAAGCTCCTCTTCTTCTTCTTCCAAACATTCAAGTAAATCAAGTAAAAACAGTTCTCCTGTAAATTTACCAACTCGTGACACACCACCTGATATTATTCAGACTGATAACACTCTGGCACTGGAAATATTAGAAGATGATTTGACTTGTGTTATTTGCAAAGGAATGGATGTTGGAGCAAGAAACAGATTAGTTGAGTGTTCAGAGTGCCATTCCTTGTATCATCAAGAGTGTCATGTTCCGCATATTTTAGACTCTCAGATAGATGTTCCAGGACTGGTGTGGTATTGTTCGAACTGTTCCAAGTCTCAGGTGTGTGTATTCACTCACATTATAATTTATATGTTTTCTAAACTTGAAATATTTTGGTGATTTTTACTAAAGAAATGTTAGAAAACACAAAAACTATAAAATAAAAAGAACTTTTTCAATTTATAGCTCTCAAAAGAAAGGAGCTCACCAAAAACAGTGATAGAAAGCAAATCTAAAGAACAGAAAAAATCTAGTTCAAGTAAGTCTCGTATGCCTTTAAAACATAAATGTCATTTCTTTTTTAATTAAAGAGGCAGTCATTATATTGTTTAATAGGTGGTGGAAACAAAATAACACCAAATATTCATATTATAAGTGCAGATAGAAGATTAAAGGATATGATGAAAAAAGCTAAGCAAGATAAACGAAGCGCAAATACTACTCAGAGTTCAAAGAATTCTTCGTCAAGTTCACCAGCGATGTCTTCAACGAAATCTCAGGAAAAATCACTACTGTACAAAATGAAGTCAGGCGTGGAATGAAACTCCGCTCACACGAATATTGTGATAATATTTTATAATATAAAAGAACAAATTTTATAATTTCGACATTGTGAGTTGAACGAAATAATCACAATCGATGTGTTAGTATATAACAAAATCAATATTGCCAAAGAATGATCTTTAACTAGATAATATTAATTTTATACACAACAGCCGTTTCCAATTTTGTGCCGAAAACCGAAGGTTTTTACTTTTTATATTGTTTTATATTTTCATTGTATAATTTTCTTTTTTTAACATGATTTATTGCGGGGCATAACGATGCGATGATAAATTTGATACTGCAATGTTTAAAAAATATATATATAATTTTTGTACAAATGTACATTACCATTTAAATATCCAAGTATATGAATGTGTAGTTGAATTTCTGTAAAACATTAAGGATCTTAAATAAAAAGAAAAAAAAAAAGAACTCTTGAAGGATACTTTGAAAGAAACGTTACGAGTATGGAGTTCATTTATAATATCAATATATTTTTGCAATTTTTCAAATGCTTATTTGTTTGTCCCTACGTCCCATTGAAAATTTGGCAAGAGTCATTTCGTTCTCGAGTGTTACTTAAGATCTACTTATATGCAAGATGGGGGGTTGAATTCTATTTACACTGGGCATCTCAAGGGGTTGCATCCATCGTACATCGATAGATGCACACTCACGCAGCAAACGCACAAGTAAAGCAGCAATTGTCACAGTCACACATGCGATTGCATTCATCATTACATACACGCGTATTTACGTATAGGCTATACAACGAGAAAAGATACATTTAAAAATTCATGGGAATGAAAATGAGCCCGTTTTACATTATTTTCTTTTTTTTTTTCGTACGCGGTTCCCAAAGTTTAATATATTTTAAGTTATTTTCGTAGGGAACAATCATCCCCCCATCCTTTTTTTTTTCCGAAGCTTAACAAAGAATAATCTTAAACTCGACATGACGTTTGGAATCGTCTATACTACGAAGCATGACATTACTAATCGACTCATAAACCGCTGAACATTTCCTCCGTTAATTACAATACAGTACATACGTTGAATGCAGAATTGACAAGCTTTTCAGATGGATGGAGTCAACTGTCGAGCATACAAATTCTTGAGAAATTCTGTCACACCATGAAGCAATTTTCAATACCGTATTTCTCGTAAGAAGGCCAGAATTCCGCCAAAAGTTTGACTCTGCTACCAATGATTTATGGATTTTAAAATTTAATTTAAAAAAGAAGTCAACTTGGAATTTTTTTTACATTAGAAAAATTTTTTGGTCCAAAATCTGTCGAGACGAGAAATTATCTGCAACGCTAACACCATATTAATTAGAGTAATATATATATATATATATAT